TTTTTTTTTTTTTTTTTTTTCCCTGGTCCTTGCACGGCCGGGCCGCCCGGGAAAACAGGGTGACCCGGGCGGCCCGGCCGTTAGCCTAGCTTTTTTGGTTTTTTTTTTTTTTTTTTTTTCTCTGGACATTTGTGCACCCCTCGTACCGGTCCGGACTGTCCGGGTCCGGTGATGTCCGGGTGTCCGGATCACTGGACAGTCCGGACCGGTCCAGACACTGGTCCGGAAGACAGTCCGGAAGTGTCCGGTGTCCGGGTCCAGGGTTACCATGCTATGCTTGCTGTGGTTTACTCCTTTTAATGAGCGCATCATAGATTCGTAGCATACATATCTGTCCTCCTCACTTAAAGGCAAAAAAAAAACAAAAAAAAAAAACAGAAGTTACACAACAGAATACACATTTTTCCTCTTAAAAAAAAAAAGAAAAAGTGATTCACATCCTCTGCATTCCTGTCCCCTCGCTCTCAACACTCTACTAGAGCATGTTTCAGGTCAGAGTTGTCTTAGATTGACAATGAAAAAGAGAAAAAAAAAGATGTGTCAGAGAAAGCTCAGAGAAGGCGCAGAAACGTCTCGGCCACATTTCAGGGAGATGGATCAGTTGGAATCGGAAGAGACAATAACCTGGTTCCTTGCCTGGGCCTTCAAAGGGACCAGGCTTGCGGGAGACCAGGGGTCAGGAGGGGCAGGGTTCAGGGGGACCACTGTGCAGGGGAACCAGGGGGTCGGGTTTACACAGGACCAGCGTTCAGGGGGACTACCGGTAAGCTTCAGGGTGCCATGGGGTTCAGGGAGAAGGACCGATTGGAACTGGACAAGACATGGACCTGGTAGCTTCCCTTGACCAAACAAGGACCACGGTTCATGGACATGCTCATTGATAATCATTGCCCTCAAGTACCATCGAATCACTTGCACAAAATTGCCCACTCCAGGGATGGAACCTGCAACCTGTTGATCTTATATCAGAACACATACCGAAAGGCAAAGCGAGCCGGGATGAAACTGAAGCTCGCAGATGTGAATTTCATCCCAACCCAGCATGATTAGTACAACACATACTTCCATGACCTGGTGTACCCAGACTCAAACTCCGACCAAACGGCCCCCATTGAGGCAAGCTCAAATGCGAGGATTGAGCCCTCACGGGGCCCTTACAGACATGCAAGTGTTCTGGGCTGTGGCCCCCAGCAAGCATTGTGCCCGCCCTAAGTGAAGGGCGAGCCTGAATATCCACGTGAGGCCTCTGTTCAACATTTTTTTATTTGTGGGGCATCCGACAGTTGCAGCACGCCAGTTGGTTACAAAGCAACGTGAGCATTTGCTGGCTCCTTCCAGAAGCAACAGCTGCGCTGCACAGTTGAGCCCAGGGCCCCGGTTGGTTGCGCCCTGGGCACACACATTGGGAGGCCGACACATCACACACTGGCCGCGGACGTATGAGAAAGCAGCATTGTCGTCACACAACCTCCACGGGCCAATGAGAATGCGGCAAACACTTTGGAAGGCTGCCTGGATGTGCCCAACTGTAAAGAACCCAGGCCCATAACAGCAGAGGTGGGCCTGGGCGCAGACACTGGGCCCGACTGGAAGCTACTGGAAACTTCCCCAGCCCGGCCCACACAGCCAGACACAAGGCTGCACTTCCATAAAGGAAAGTGCCCTGCCCAGCCAAGGGCATTCTCGCCTGTACAGGCAATGCGGCCACACTGCTGCGTTGTCGTACAAGCAGCTGCACTAGCGCCGCTGGCCAGGGCGCACGCGGGCGCCAAGAGGTGAGAAGGCGCTGCTGTGGCAGCGGGCGCACGGCGTCCATAGCCGGGCCGAGCGTGCGGGTGGTACAGGTGATGGCGATGGTGGTCTTAGGGTAGGAGGCGCATGCAGAGGGGATCAAGCCGTGATGAGCGGAGGAGAGAGAACGTACCTGGTGTATTCTGGCGGTCGGCATTGGTGATGACGTCACGTACATTGGTCTCCAACTTCGCTGTGATCCAGTCGCATGAACATAGATAGGATAGATAGGCTGAGTAGTGTAGGCTGGACGCTGGGCGCTAGACAGTAGGAGCGACATTGGATACAGTGTTGGTGTGACCAGAGAGCGTCGGCATTGGCACTCGAGGTCATTGTATTGGTCTTAATTGGATGGTATCTTGGTGCATTGTGCTCTCTGCTTGGTACATGACTATCTGGACTACTTCGTGATTTTGCAACTTGCTATCGCTCTTGCTCATATTCCTTGCACAAGGGGATTGCATGCCAAGCAACATGGGTACTATTTTCCACGTGGTGGCTTGTGGAGAGATCATTAACAGAGCCCTAAATTTTCAGGGTCTTTCCAGGCTCATTATAACAAATATCCCACGCCTTTTAAGCCAGACTTGTCACCAGTCCATAGAGTGGACACCAATTAAACCAACAGCAAATCCACTTTTCAGGGTTGCGGGGGTCAACCTGCGGCTGAAAAGTGGGGGTACCTGTTAACCACTTGTGGGCTTGGATCAATTGGAATTGGAAAGAGACGTTGACCTGTTTGCTTACCTTGACGAGATGTTCCATGTGCTTGAGGTGGCTTGTTGAAACAGCAAGGGCAATATCTAGTGTCTGCTTGTCAACTCCAAAAGCTCCCTCGGGGACGAGAAAGCCATCTGACGGTCATAACAGCACACCAGCAAGGGTACCAATGGGCTTAGTTCAGTGGGTACACCCACAAACTGTTGAAATACAGACCTGAGTTCAAATTCAGATGGAACCAGAAGAACAAAATTTCTGAATGACCTGGGGACGGTCAGTTTCACGATGATATCTCAAGGCTGTGGTCGAGTTGGACGAGCTTCGGTGTCCCTTAGGTCAGTTTCACGATGATATCTCAAGGCTGTGGTCGAGTTGGACGATGATATCTCAACCCCACAGCAAATAATGCCCCTCCAAAGTTTGGACCCACCTAATGACCAAACCATCACATGTGGTTCAGAGGCCTGGGGTCAGGGGTCATCACTTAGGGTTTAGGGTTTAGGGTTTAGGGTTTAGGATTTAGGGTTTAGGGTTTAGGATTTAATGTTTGGGGTTTATGGTTTAAGATTTGGTGTTTAGGGCTTAGGATTTTGGATTGCGGGTTTCCGGTTCCCTGTTCGGGTTTGGGGTTTCAGGTTTCAGGTTTCAGGTTTCAGGTTTAAGGTTTAAGGTTTAGGATTTATAGCTGAACACCATGCGAAAAGAGTTCTAATGAACAATTAACACATCCTTCCGCCACATACTCTCACGGCATACAGTACGACTTTCCTGATGCAGCTGACCATCGTTTACTATGTCATAATTTTGAATGATGCATAGTGTGATGATTGGAAATTACATACAACTTGATACAAGCAAAAGAATTGGGAAAACACACATAAAAAAAATAACAGCTTCAAATTTCAATTCGGTGAAATTCATCAAATAGCATCATTGCAGTTTCTTCTTCATTCAACTCGAGCCCTTTGTTAGATTCAAAGTTCAGCCATTTGCAATGAACCCACTCTCGTTGAGAAACCGATCAGCAATGTCACACAAATCCTAAACCAGTGCTCCAAATGAAGTCTCGAGAGATGATTGAAAGTCCAAACTCGGTTGATTGCACATTTCAGAAGCAGCGAACCATGAGAGAGAGACAAGGGAGAGATAGATAGAGAGGATGGAGAGAAGAGTTACATTAATAATCAATAATCATACTTGCGGCGCACTTGTGCGGTGCGCCATGTGCCTTTTTTTGGGGGGGGGG